CAGGCCAGAAGAGGGCACCAGATCTCATTACAGATGGTTGTGAGCCACCATGTGGTTGCTGGGAATTGAACTCAGGACCTCTGGAAGAAACAGCCAGTGCTCTTTACCTCTGAGCCATCTCTCCAGCCCCCAATCCCAGCACTCTGGAGGCAGAGCCAGGTGGATCTCTGTGAGTTGAGGCCAGCCTGGTCTACAGAGTGAGATCCAGGACCAGCACCAAAACTACACAGAGAAACCCTGTCTTGAAAAAAAAAAAAAAACAACAACAACAACAAAAAATTTTTTTTCTCATCTGGCCTTAAAATCAGACTATTTTAGGACTGCATCATTAAAACATGGGGGAAGATCCCCTTTTCCCTTTTCTGGAATAGCTTGCTCAAGATTATCATAATTGTTCTGTAACTTAGCTTATTCACATAACAGCAGGATCCAGAGAGGTGGCTCATTGGTTAAAAGCACTTGCTGCTGTTGCTGAGAACCAGATTTGGTTCCCAACACACACATGGCACCTCACAACCACTGTAGCTCCAGTTCCAGGGGATCTTGTGCCCTCTTCTGGCATCCACAGGTACTACATGCACATGGTGCACATACTTGCAGGCAAACACACACACACATACATACATACACAAAAGATAAATAAATCTTTTTTATTTTTTATTTTTGTTTTTTTGTTTGTTTGAGACAGGGTTTCTCTCTGTAGTTTTGGTGCCTGTCCTGGATCTCACTCTGTAGACCAGATTGGCCTTGAACTCACAGAGATCTGCCTGGCTCTGCCTCCTGAGTGCTGGGATTAATGACATGTACCATCATTGCCCGGCTAAATAAATCTTTGTTTAAAAGATAGTCTGTGCTGAGTAGTTTCTTTTGTGGTAGCTTTTAAATTGCAGTTTGCACTAGATATTCCTATAACTATCCAAATGTTTCTACACCTACACTAATCTCAGGAGTTGTGGGTTTTTAAGGGTTGTCTATCTGTTTCTCAAGCTCACTGGCATGAAGGAAGGCTATTAGTCATTTACATCCCATACTGGTAGACTCTGCAATGACACTTTTTAAATGATTTTCCTGTTCCATTATTTTATGAGAGTCCATGATTCTCTCCATCTCTGTATCCCTTCTGTGTTTCAAACCCACAAAATCCACGTGTTCAATAAAAAAAAATGTTGTTTTATAGATTATATGATGAATTCTGCATCCAATTCATTCTTACCCAGATGCCTTACTCTTGCAGGCAGCCTTGACCAGGGGGACAGTGATTCAGCTGGGTGATCAGGTAAGATCCAGAGATTACACAATAAACACGAACTAGAACTAACAGGACAGTGCACCACTTCTGGGTCCCTGAGGGAAGGGTGCGGAGGAGTCTGTAGGGAAGACCAATAACATGCTGCTCTACCAGCAGATGAGAGGGGTCGGAGACGGGGGAGGCGGGGAGGAAGAGAGCAGGAGAGAGGAGACAGGAAGACAGTGTGGGGGAGACAAATTTAGGAAGGAAGGGAGAGGGGAAAGGGGAGGAGACAGGAGAGAGGGGCCTGCGGGCCATGCTGTCACCAGGTCCCTATGGTGCCCTCGCACTTCCCGGGAGCTGTGCAGGCTTAGAGCGAACACACACACCGAGGGAACTTGGCGATGTCCCCTGATGCCGCCCTCGGGTTTCTAGTGGTCAGCAGCGGCGGCAGAGCTCCCAGTGAGGAAGATAAGAAAGGACAGACTTCATCACAATCTACCAGTCAGGAAGGGAAGTCTGAACTAGGCCAGAGGTGACGGGATGTGACAGGGCTGCAAATAACTTAGGTCTGAGCCCCAGATGGCTGTGGAGGCAACCACAGCACTAAATGCATCAGGACAGAGGCGGTCCTTACCACCCTTGTTCTCCAGGGCTCTATGTAATCAAAATCCCACCCACTGAACAGCAACTTCACCTACCACATCACCGTTCTACTGTGTGTCTCCACGATTTTCCTTCTAATGTGTGAGTGTGCAGTGAATATGTGTGGGCGTGGACATATGTTTAGGGGGGTCATGGTACACAAGTGGACATCAGAGACAACTCGCAGGACTCAGTTTAAACTTCCCACCTGGTGGGTTTCGGGGATCAAACTCAGGTCGTCAGGAGTGGCATCAGCAAGCTCTCAGCCATCTTGCCAGTCCTAATGATGTCCTTTCAAAAGGAAAAATAAAAAGTGTGTGTGTGTGTGTGTGTGTGTGTGTGTGTGTGTGTGTGTAACATGCAAGTCTGCAAAAGTGTCTGTCATCAAGAGGGATTGGAGGATAGCGGGAATCCTCTTTTATGGAGCTTCGACATTACTCAGACAGGGTCTCTCACTGAAACTGGAATTCTCTGTAGTTCAGCCAGGCTGGCAGCCAACAAGCCCCAGGGATGGCTTCCTTTCTTGAAAAAAAAAAAAAAAGATGGATAGATAGACAGACAGATAGGCAGATGGCAGACAGTGTGTGTGTGTGTGTGTGTGTGTGTGTGTGTGTGTGTGTGTGTGTGTGTGGTGTTTGGGAGTGCTGTGGCACACATGTACAGGTCACAAGGTGATTTGCAGCAGTCAGTCAGTTCTCTCCTTCCAACCAAGGGATCCTGGACACTGCGCTTATTCTACTGGGCTTGGCTGCAGACCCCTTTACCCGATGAGCCAACTTGCTGACCCCCATCCGTCCCCTGTCTCACCTACTCCCCCTCCGAGCACTGGGCTTGCAGGAGTGCATGGCCCCACCCAGCTGTATACATAGGTGCTGGAAATCCAAACTTGGTCCCCTTGTTTACAGCAAGCATGCTCATCCACTGAGCCACCTCCCTCAGTCACACTGCCTCATGTTGGGAGGTGACAGCATCTCCCACAGCTGGCTTCAATAAGCCAGATCTTCCCTCTTGTTCCTTAGACCATCTTGTTAGGTGTTTGTTTGTTGATGTTTTCAAAGAATCGGCTTCGCTGACTCTGCTTTTATCTCCTATACCCTGCTAGTCTGTCTCCGCTGTGGTCTTTATAAGTAGGTGTTGCAGCTGACCAGCAAGTCCTAGGGAGCCTCCTGTTTGCTTCCCGGCACTGGGATCACAAAAACATGCTATGGTACCCAGCTTCTGTGTGTGGGTTCTAGGGATTGGACTCAGGTCCTCAAGCTTGCTCGGTGGGCAAAATCTGTATGTCCTGCCCCAAAGGCCTCATTTTCACATCATCAAGACATATAATATTGGGCTGGAGAGATGGCTCAGAGGTTAAGAGCACTGACTGCTCTTCCAGAGGTCCTGAGTTCAATTCCCAGCAACCACATGGTGGCTCACAACCATCTGTAACGAGATATGCCCTCTTCTGGCCTGCAGTCATATATGCTGTATACATAATAAATAAATAAATCTTTAAAAAAATAAAAAATAAAAAAAGACATATAATATTAATATATTCATCTAAGATGCACAATCCATCTGGGCGTGGTGGCACACACCTGAAATCCCAGCCCCCGAGGGGTAGAAGCAGGAGGATCAGGAATTCAAGGTCAGCCTTGGTACAGTGCAAGTTCAAGGCCAGTTCAGTTTACATGAGACTGCCTCAAACAAACAAAAAAGTGCCCAATTCAGTGGCGTTTAGTATATTGACCGAGTGTGCAGCTATGACCACGATTTAATTTTAGAACAGTTCATCACTCCAGTCAAAAGTCCCGTTAGTGGCCATTCTGTGGCGGCTCTTCTCCAATGTACACAGCCCCAGGTAGCCCATAATCTCCCTCTATGGACCCCTCTTCTGGGTATTCCTCACACGTGAAGCGGTGGTGCACTGTTGTGACCCTCTGCAAGGACTTGACCCGCTCAGCATGGTTGAGGCCCATCCCTTGCAGTAGCGCACAGTAGCAGCTCACCCCCTCTTACACAGGTACCCCGCAAGCCTGCGTGCGGTGCTGCCGAACCTGCATGCACGAGGCTCTGTGTGGGAGCCTGTTTTTGTTTCTCTTTGGCATGTGCTTACAAGTGGGATTTCTGAGTCATGGCAACTCTATATTTAACATTTTGAGGAACTTCCAAGCTGTTTTCCAAGGTTGTTATTATTGTTTTTGGCAAGTGATGTTCACTTAGAATCAGCAGCAAATGTAACCACTCTGGCGCTCCTCACTTTCTCCTTCCCGCACTCCAGCTCTCCCTTCTACCCGTTCTCACTCCGTGAAGAACACTTACAAGTTTTGTGCATTTGCAAATGTCCTCTCCCTCCCTCCCCCCACTTCCTCCCTCCCTCCCTCTTCGATCTGTGCTCCTACAAGTGAGTGTGTGCATTTGTGCTTGTGGGAAGCAGGGGACATTTCGAAGCTGCTTTGCACTTCCTAAAAAGATTGTTCTTTGACAATTTCATAGATGTATATTATGTATTCTGGTTACTCTCTCCATCCACCCTCTCTTATCCAACTCCCACTACCATCAAACACACACACACACACACACACACACACACACACACACACACACACGTCCCTTTCCCAGATTCTATAACTCCTGGTTTTGTTTTGTGACCCATTTAGTTTCGCCAGGACCATCAGTGTTTACGTAGCATGATATGACTCTGGCTATCTTCATCACAACTCCTGTTTTGCTGGCTGGGTAACCCCGGAGTCACCTCTACCCTATAGGACACATCAAATCCTGAGATAGTCACCTGAAGGTAGTATGCCAGCCGATGATGCCCAGTCTGTTGAAAGGCCAGTGTATTCTGGTCTCATCTCACCTGTCTATCTTAACACCTGTTAGACGGTTGCTGTGGCAGCCTGGCTGGAAGATGTAAATGAGGAAAGATTTATCTGGGTTCCCGGTTTCAAAGCAGAACTGTTCACATCCTGGAGGATAAGATACATAGTTAAGCAGTAACAAGAAGGAACCATGATGGGATATAACCCCAAGGACACAAGCCCTGTGACCTACTTCCTCCCAACACCGGCCAATAGTCCATTCTAATTATGAATCCATCAATGGATCGCACTAACTGTCCATCAGTGGATCACACTAACTGTCCATCAGTGGATCACACTAACTGTCCATCAGTGGATCGCACTAACTGTCCATCAATGGATCGCACTAACTGTCCATCAGTGGATC